AAAAGAGTCTTATATCTGTCTTAAGGATTGGCCAATTAATCTGTCAAAATTTGGTATCAGTAATCAACCAATTACTGAAATGACAAACTGCCAATTAATCGGAAATCAGCTCATTGTCACGTATACAATAATAAATTTTCAGTTTTTAAATATAAGCATTGCAAGCAAGGGATTTCTTAGTCCTGATAATTTGAGAGCTTTAATTTCCCTTAAAATTTTTTTTTTTTTTTTTTAAACTGATTGGAATGAATTGGTTTTTATTTCATAACTGCTTTCAACATTATTTGTTAAAATTTCTTGTCAGCTTGAATTAAAATGAAATATTCAATTCCCCCTTCTGCACAGAAAATCTTTACATTAATGAACCCTATTTAAAAGCTTTTTCTAAATTGTCATGATAAAATAGCTAAATAGAAGTTTTATCATAATTTTTAAACATATTTTTCTTTATTTTTCGTAGATATAATTTCATGTTAATAGTTTTTATTTCTAATAAATCCTAAAAAATCATAAAAGTAAAAAAACTCTGAAAAAATTGGTCTCCGTTTTAAAAAAGTCAGGTTCCTTGCTCCGCAAAAAAAAAATTGCACATTTTTAAAATAATTTTTCAGAAAAAATATACTAAATTACCATTGTTGTAAAGAAATTTCATTTAATTCGGATGTTAAAAACTTCACGTGTGCGTAAATGACTTAATAAACTGGCCTATCCCATTAACGATATTTCACACATACGTTTCATCTGATAATCAAAGACTCGGTTTTTTTTAATAAAATGCAGTATATCAGACAATACTGCCCTATCACAACAAATATTTACACTTTGTTTCCTCATCACGATGAAGTGCAATTGATTAGACACAAGGCAGTTTTATACATTATTTAATCATTGGTTGATATGCGTTTTGGATGAATAAATAAAGAACAATGAGTAAATAATGTATAAAACTGCCTTGTGTCTAATCAATTGCACTCCATCGTGCTGAGGAAATAAAATACATACGATGAAGACACGGTTTCAAATTTAATAAGGAATATTTACACTTCAAACATTCATCTCACACGCCAGAAAACTAAAACAAATTCTGAATAAAATAAAGCTTATCTAAAATGTGCAAATATCCGTTGGAATTCAACTTAAACGATACTAAAAAGACTTTACAAACTCAGACACGCTGTTGGTGCCTATGATACGAATCATGAAATCTTGTGAAGTAACAAGAGAAGAATTTTTATTTTTAATTAAACTTAAGTTAGTTACATTATTTATTTTTAATTTTCTTTCAGTTATTTTGAATTTTGGGGGGTTGAGTTACATTAACCTTGACTATTATTCTCACCATTTTCTGGCTAGTGCTTCATTTGCATAATTTCACAATAAAACTTGAATAATGAATAGAATTGCATTCCATTAAGTTAGGATTTAAATATGACTAAAATATTAAATACTATGCTAAAAATTATAAATTTAATAACCAGATATCGGTAGAGACATAAGAAAAATTATATTTTTTTATAAGCATGTTGAATATGCAAATCAGCAATGTATAAAGGCCATTGTCAAGCTGTAACTTCTGTTGGTCAGTTTATGGTTATTGAATTGTAAATGACTGACTGGTGTTGATTAAGGAATTTTCTCTTGATAGATTGTTTTTTCTAATCAGGTTAATTGTTTGATATTTTGAATAATTATAATTTTATAAAGTGTTCTAGTAGTTGATGTAAATTCAAATTTCTAACATTTGAGTTTTATACTAAGCACTACTGTAAAATATTTTTGTTTTTGTAGTAATAAAGTCCAGAACTGACATTTTTAATTTAACAAAGTACAGCTGTCCCTTGATAGTCCAACATTTTGTAATCCAACGTGCTCAGTAGTCCGACGCACCTCCCGTCAAGGTACCCGTCCCCGTTACATGTCTGCTTGCACAGAAGCATGTCGTGACTCTCCCCACCCAATTCTTACACGATGACACACATTTCGTGTGTTTTCCGTGAGCAGTTCTGGTCAAACAGTTGGAGTAGGGAATATTGTAGGCTATTGCTAGCAAAACAATGCCAAATATGTAATCACTTTCAGTAATCCAGACACTTTTGGTAATCCGACACCCCTTTGGTCCCATACCTGTCGGATTATCAAGGGATAGCTGTATTTAATATTTTTAGAAAGTCTCTGGTACTGTGGTTGTTTTTGATAGTTGAGATTGCAAGATCTAGAATATCTGTTCAACACTGGAAATCAATTGATAATCTCTCACACTTGCCGAAACCCCTAGAGTAGATTACCACTGAACAAGCAAGCAAAGCAGCAGCTTTGCTTGCTTGTTCAGTGTCTATACTTATCTAAGATTATTTCTACAATCAAAGCACTATGCTGTCTTAGGAAATCTTATTAGATAAGAATCATAAAGAATATGAAAGTCTATAAAGAATAGCTTCCTTGCATGCAAGAAAGTCAAACTTTTACATTTATTACATTCTCAACAGTAATTAAATTATTTCACAAATGTGAAAAACAATACCTTTCATACTTTTTCAGTGACGATTTATTTAACATACTTGCTTCAAGTTTATGAATAAACTGAAAATGTTAGTAATTTGATCCAGTTGTCGAAAAGGTAATTTCTAAGCACAGTCAACAAATTTTCCAGTAACCAACTTTAATGTAAAAATTGACAAACATTTTCAATTTTAAAGTTGGTTACTAGATGAAGGTTTTGTTGACTGTGCTTTAAAATGTTAGTTCGGGCATTGTTAATTTTATAATGTGATGGAAGTGCACTGAAAGTATTGGCTCCTGAATACGTCATATGACAGTTGTAAAAAGAATTGAAATGAGATCTGGATTTTATGATGAGGTTTTCCTCCCCTGAATTCCAGCCAAGAGTTTAATTACCCTTATATAAAAAATAGAAAACAAAATACTATACTATAATTGGGTTAAACAGTCAATTTTTTTGTTGTTGTATATACTCCATAAAATACAGCTGTTTAGTAAAAGTTTGATCTGATTATTTGCATTTTATACAGTTTCGTTATGTTTACTAATCAATCTATTACTATTATTTAAACTATTTGTATTGGCAATAGAACTGCTTTCAAAGTTTCCAATTAATTGATAGACTGAATATTTTTTAAATTTCATTTTCACTAATATATCTAAAGTATAAAGTTGCAGAAAAGAAAACCAAATTGAATAATAAGTTAGAAATATAATACATTAATCAATAAACACAAAACATACAAGCTCAAGTTATATCATCTATACTTCTTACATATATATGTCTAATGTCTAACAATTCAGATATTATTCATTATTAATCATAAATATTTAAAATATTAATAAATATATTTTAAAATTTACATTCAATATTTTTTAAATCTAATGACGACTATATAAGCATTCAAAAATATTTACTTACATTAAAATTTAATAGAGTAAAATATAAATCTGTTTAATATTTTTACATTCACTTAATGTCATTATCTATTTTGAATAAAGTATTTAAAATTTATTCAAACAGATGACAAATAACAGAATGAATTCCAGTAGCATTAGTGTTTGTGATTGAATTATGAAGAGAGATGTATACCCAAAAATATGGGTCTACATTTTGCCCATCCATCTCTGCAAGGATTAATTTCTAATGATAGAAATCTATTAACTTACTTCAAAAGTTAGAGAATACAATCTCCCTCTCCTTAATTCAGAAATTGAATTTCCTGCAACTGTTAATATACGATCTTGTTGGTTTCAAATATTTCCAAAATATATTTCGAAACTATATGATTATCGGCTACAAAAGTGAAACTTTCTTGAAATTATCAGCTCCATCGTAAAGAATTGTTATATAATTCAAGGAGTCAACTTATTTCTGACTAAACATTTTACAAGATTTTCAAAGTTCTGAATCCAACAAGTGTTCATTCTGACGAGACGAAACGGTCTCAAAAAATGTTTGATCAGAAATAAATAAGTCAACTCCTCGAATCATATAGCAATCCCGTGGAAAAAAATTATTAAATATTTCTTTTCGCATGATATCCTTCTTTCAGATTACAGATTCTGCCATTATAGAACACTTTATTTTACAATAAAGTGTTCTATAATGGCATATTACAAGCACTGTAATCTTTCGAAACAAAAAAGAGACAAACAGCATTTTTTGATTGTAATAAACGATCACGGATGACGAACATATGCAATTATCGCGCTCTGTTACACTTTTATGTTGTGCTATGCCGTGCCATAACTAGCCTTTTATGCACCTGGTGGGAGCTTCTGTAACTACGCTCCAAAACTATGACCCAAAACTTGGTCCAGGGGCCATATTCTGGTCACTGTCTCTGGTCTCTCGTCTCATGCAAGCCGGTCGCTGATTGGCTAATCATTTGGATTAGCCAATCAGCGACCGGCTTACGAGAGACCAGAGACAGTGACCAGAATACGGCTCCAGGTTATTTCTGTGCCCCGTGCCTGAGCAACGCTGGCACCACCCTAGTTACGGCACTGGTGCTATGGATATTGAAACTAATGTCATGTATTTCACTTACCTTAAACCATTATAAATACTTGTTTTAAGTACATGAATCATCTACTTATTTCTTTAACCAATCAAATTTACTTTAATTAACAAAACTTATTAAACATTATAAGGTATGATTCCAGTTCTGAGTGAGGGAAAGCAATCCCCAGAGGATTATAAAGTCCAAAGGTTCACCATTTTATATGTAAAAACTCATTTAAGCTATTATTTACATAAAAATCTATTTTATTTCATAAAAACATGTGAATAAATTCTAATTTTATAAATATAAAGTTATAAGAACATATGAAATATTATTTTATTAATATAATTACGAAATACGTCACGTATTTTTAAATAAATATATTTTACAATCATTCATATGTTCTCTCTCTTAATTATTTACTGAAACTAAAATCAGGTTTTAATTTATTATTATGTTTGTTTATTTTATAAATTATGTATAAAAATGTACCTTATATCATATATAAATTAGTCGAAATAAAATGCTACTGTAATATATTAATTAATATTACATTTTGAACAATTCAAAACACGATTCTTTTTTCCCTCCGCTAATTATTCAAAATTCGAGTCGCCATTTTGGAAATTCTCCCTCTAGTAGCAGCAGGGATTAATTTCTAGGAAAAATACGTAATTTAATATATAGCGTAATAAATAAATTTGTGGATGTATTAATATTATAAATTATTTTATATTATAAAATATTTTAAAATTCAAGAAATAAATTTCATTTAAGTTTAAATTTTTTTTTCTCCATTCCTGCGGACAAGCCATAATGAGTTCGGCCGGGTTCACAATGGGGCGGCCGGATGGTAAGGGACGAGGGCTGACATATCCGGTTGGATCAACTCCCGAAACGTTCCGGGGGATTTTTTATATGTCCGGATTCTGTCTGTTGAACGTAGCAATCAATAATTGGTCACGAGTTCGCACCTGACCAACTGTGGACTCGTTGCGTGACATTTCACAAGTTCTCTTTACGTGTCTAACATCTCAATAAAAGCAATCTTCCAATAGAAATTTCTCGCGGGAGCCATTCTTCGTAGATTGCTCTTGTGTTGCGTTGCCTCATCCCTTCAAACCAAACCAAACTTAGGCCGGATGGACGAGCGGTCAAGGTGGCAGCCTGCCGCTCTGGGGAGCCGGTTTCAAATCCGGACGGGTCGTGAAATCCCCAGGAATTTTTCGGGGTGGTCCTTCCGGATATGTCGGGCTCCATCCCTCACCACCCAGCAGCTCCATAATAGGCTTGCTAAAAGAGTCCCTCTTAGTGCTTACGGGGAGGAAAGAGTTTTAAAAAAGTCGGAGAACGTTGCTCCAAGGCAAATTTTTCTTTAAGCGATTGCTTTTGTCATAGGATCTGTACTAATGAAGTCAAACTGAAGAAAAGCGACTGAGGTTTTTTGATCCATCCAGATTCATTCTCGGATTCTTCAGAACGTTACGCTGATTCGTTAATCGCCTCTGCCATCCTATTGTTCTGAGGAACCCAAATTGGAATTCAGGTAAGGTCAGAAATAGTCACATGCGGGTTAACCTAGCTACATCAGCCCATAAAAATTTCATAAGGTTCAAATTAGTGGCTCCAACTTATATGAGGTTATGGCTTACCCAATAATTTGGGCTCACAGAACAATTCATTTCTTTATAATTTAGAACTGTTTGAGTGGTAACGTATTTTACATTATCGTCCCGCTATTTATTTTATTGTATCACGTGGCTATTTTTGAATGAACAGAAGCAGGCACGTAAACAGCGAGGGGGCTTGGGGGCTAAAGCATCCTCCGGATTTCGGTAATAGCATAATACCCGTAGCAAAATGACGGACGGAAGACTAAAGCGGTTAATACATTCAGGGTTTTCCTCACACTTCTCTCTTTCCGCCTCGTGGGCACTAAGCAAGCCTTTATTCCATATCCCATTGCGAGTTCAGCCAAGCCCACTATAGGATAGTGAAGAACAGGGCGCTTGACATACCCAGGAGAGACCATCCATGAAAATTCGCCTAAACTGGATTCCGGATCCCTCAAAACCATTGGCTGATGCCTTAATAGCTTTGTCCATTCGGCCGCTAGTACTTTTTGGGTTATACAAACGTGTAGTAACATTTTTAAAAGTTTAATAATAAACAGTTTTATTTATTATATCAAAATTTCCCCGTTTGTAAATTAAAACTTCGATTTTTGTTCGCTTTGTCACCACCAGATGAAGCCATGGGTTTTGAAATCTTCGTTAATTTTTCTCAGATGTTAAAACATTTTATTTATTAAAATATTACTGGTATAAATTATTATAAATTAAATATATTTGTTTTATTTATAAATTGTTCGATTTTATTTTAATTAAATCAAACACCTCGCAAATACAACATCCATAAATGTCATTAGGAAAGGGAGGAAAAATGTCAAAATTTTTTATCTTATTGTAAAAATTTTATAAACATTTTGAGAATAAAAACTATTTAAAACTTTATAATATTTATTTTAAATCGTCACAATGCCGGGTTGATGCTCTCCACCTCAAATGAATAGTGTCTTGCCCCTGTACATCATACTTTTCCTTTTAACAATAGAGTAGTGCCCATCTATGTAACTCTATTCAAGGAAATATTTTTAAATTAAAATAATGTGACTTGCTGTTTGTATCGGAAGTTCATATATAGTTAGCTAATCGGGCCTAATACCCCTACGGTTTCCATATCTATTCTCGGATTTCGTCTATCTAACACCACTCTCGAGATTAAGGAAGAACAGACAGACGGACGGACGACAGTAGGAATTTATATGTCTAAAGTACAGTTAAAAATATAGTATATAATTTAATATTAAACAAATTTTCTTCGACTTTTTTCTTGCTTTAATTTTCTCATACAATTAGTACAGTTCGAATTACACGTTTTAACATTTAATAAATTTATTATCAGAAAACTTTATTTCTTTTAAATTTTTAAAGATTTTTTAAAAATAGAATTTAATAAATAAACAAAAGATTAAATTGCTGTTGGTTAAAAAGCAAACTTAAGATTAAACTCCTGCTAGTTAAGGAGCGAATGAAAGGTTAACTTAAACTCCTATTAAAGAGCAAACTGAAGATTAAACTCCTATTAGTTAAGGGAAAATAAAAGGTTAAAGGTTCTGTACTAATGAAGTCAAACTGAAGAAAAGCGACTGAGGTTTTTTGATCCATCCAGATTCATTCTCGGATTCTTCAGAACGTTACGCTGATTCGTTAATCGCCTCTGCCATCCTATTGTTCTGAGGAACCCAAATTGGAATTCAGGTAAGGTCAGAAATAGTCACATGCGGGTTAACCTAGCTACATCAGCCCATAAAAATTTCATAAGGTTCAAATTAGTGGCTCCAACTTATATGAGGTTATGGCTTACCCAATAATTTGGGCTCACAGAACAATTCATTTCTTTATAATTTAGAACTGTTTGAGTGGTAACGTATTTTACATTATCGTCCCGCTATTTATTTTATTGTATCACGTGGCTATTTTTGAATGAACAGAAGCAGGCACGTAAACAGCGAGGGGGCTTGGGGGCTAAAGCATCCTCCGGATTTCGGTAATAGCATAATACCCGTAGCAAAATGACGGACGGAAGACTAAAGCGGTTAATACATTCAGGGTTTTCCTCACACTTCTCTCTTTCCGCCTCGTGGGCACTAAGCAAGCCTTTATTCCATATCCCATTGCGAGTTCAGCCAAGCCCACTATAGGATAGTGAAGAACAGGGCGCTTGACATACCCAGGAGAGACCATCCATGAAAATTCGCCTAAACTGGATTCCGGATCCCTCAAAACCATTGGCTGATGCCTTAATAGCTTTGTCCATTCGGCCGCTAGTACTTTTTGGGTTATACAAACGTGTAGTAACATTTTTAAAAGTTTAATAATAAACAGTTTTATTTATTATATCAAAATTTCCCCGTTTGTAAATTAAAACTTCGATTTTTGTTCGCTTTGTCACCACCAGATGAAGCCATGGGTTTTGAAATCTTCGTTAATTTTTCTCAGATGTTAAAACATTTTATTTATTAAAATATTACTGGTATAAATTATTATAAATTAAATATATTTGTTTTATTTATAAATTGTTCGATTTTATTTTAATTAAATCAAACACCTCGCAAATACAACATCCATAAATGTCATTAGGAAAGGGAGGAAAAATGTCAAAATTTTTTATCTTATTGTAAAAATTTTATAAACATTTTGAGAATAAAAACTATTTAAAACTTTATAATATTTATTTTAAATCGTCACAATGCCGGGTTGATGCTCTCCACCTCAAATGAATAGTGTCTTGCCCCTGTACATCATACTTTTCCTTTTAACAATAGAGTAGTGCCCATCTATGTAACTCTATTCAAGGAAATATTTTTAAATTAAAATAATGTGACTTGCTGTTTGTATCGGAAGTTCATATATAGTTAGCTAATCGGGCCTAATACCCCTACGGTTTCCATATCTATTCTCGGATTTCGTCTATCTAACACCACTCTCGAGATTAAGGAAGAACAGACAGACGGACGGACGACAGTAGGAATTTATATGTCTAAAGTACAGTTAAAAATATAGTATATAATTTAATATTAAACAAATTTTCTTCGACTTTTTTCTTGCTTTAATTTTCTCATACAATTAGTACAGTTCGAATTACACGTTTTAACATTTAATAAATTTATTATCAGAAAACTTTATTTCTTTTAAATTTTTAAAGATTTTTTAAAAATAGAATTTAATAAATAAACACAAGATTAAATTGCTGTTGGTTAAAAAGCAAACTTAAGATTAAACTCCTGCTAGTTAAGGAGCGAATGAAAGGTTAACTTAAACTCCTATTAAAGAGCAAACTGAAGATTAAACTCCTATTAGTTAAGGGAAAATAAAAGGTTAAAGGTTAACTTCTGTTAAAGAGCAAGCTGAAGATTAAACTCCTGCTAGTTAAGGAGCAAATGAAAGGTTAAAGGTTAACTCCTGTTAAAGAGCAAGCTGAAGATTAAACTCCTGCTAGTTAAGGGAAAATAAAAGGTTAAAGGTTAACTACTGTTAAAGAGCAAGCTGAAGATTAAACTTCTGCTAGTTAAGGAGCAAATGAAAGGTTAA